GCTTCCAGGCCCCCGTCTGCGCGCAGGTAGCTAGTGAGGGGGCTGATGCTAGTTGTTCAGCTTAGTGAGAAGGATTTAGCCGAGTAAAACCTTCCAAACCTGCTCTGTGGAGCATGATCCTGACCCAGGGCCGTTGTTCCCGGATCCGGGGTAGTCCGCGGGGAAGCAGCGCCCCCCACCTGGTTCCAGCACAGTGACGCGGGGACTCACCGGCTGGAGTGGGCCAGATTAAGTCAAGAACTAGAACTCTTACATCTTACCCTCAAGAAAGTAAGATCTATCGGTGGCAGAGGATTCGAAAACATTTCCAGCTGTTTTACCGTTAAACATCTTGACATCAAATGTCTCCAATCGGTATTAGTGACTTTGTTCAGTCCTTGTTTTAAAAAACATTCCTTTTTCTGTGAAAGACTAGTTGGGTATCCGCTTGTGTTTCTCACACAAAGTTTGCTTTGCCCTCTTTCCATCGAAAATGGGAAGAGGGCAGCGGCCTTACGTGACCTGTCGACAGCATCAGAAAAGCCAATGAGACGCCACCCATTCATCTCCAGGAATTTATCTGGGGACTAAAGGGCCAGGTGTGCAGTCACATACAACAAGGGTGGTCACAGCAGCTTTTTGTGACAGTGCACACTTAGGACAGAGGTAAATTATGGTTGCTGATTACTCAGATTATTATGTCGCCATTAAAAGACTAGACTTAGATATATCTGGACATTTTATACCATGTTCACTTTGAACGACATTATAGAAGATGCACATTTTGTATGACATAAATGTAGAATAAAATGTGTAGCACGATCTCATGCTGTGCTAATGAGGGGTATGTTTTGTGAAACAGTTTTACTTTCTGCTTCCTCCTCATGAACTAGTTATGTTTTTACATCATATTATAAAAATCTAGACATTCACATAGTAAGTAACTTAACTTAAATAATCATAGGCTGTCCTTTGTTCGGGGCTGGATATATAGCTGACTCACTCTCCTGACAAAACGCTTGGTGTATTAAAATTAGTGTCTGTAACAGCGTCTGGGTTTGACTGAGCTGTTTGAACGTGGCTGGAGGACGGGGGGTGCGTCTGACCACGTGTGCAGCACTGACCCATCCCTGTTGTCCCCGTTTTCTCCTGCAGGTGGCCCCTCCGAGGCCCCGCCTGGGAGGCGGCTCTACACCGTGAGTTTGCCTCCTGGGGGCTTCATTCCCTGTCCACCCGAGCCACCCAGCTGCACCATCTCCGAGAACTCCTCCGGCAGCGAGGACGTGGGAGGTAATAAGTCCTCCGGGGCAGGAGGGAGGTGACATCTTCCAGGGGAAGCATGGTTTCCCAGTTCTCTGGTATTGTAAATTAACTTCACCTAAATTTGTAATTAGGAGGTGGTGAGCATGTCACCTCATAGCCACACAGTGGACTGTGCTGTGCTTTGCAGTCACTAAAAACGATTTAGAGAACTTGCAGTCACAGGGAAAAATATTTAGGCTGTGTGGAGAGTCAAGTTGGAATGAGATTCTAGCTTTATTTGTTAATGTGTTGGTGGAAGTCTGGTGTTAAACGTCAGAATGTTAACAGCAGTTGTCTTAGTTTGTTAGAACTTTTTTTCTTGATTTTCCAATTTTTTCAAAGTACGTGAGATTGTATATCAATTTCATATTCTTGGAAACAACTTACTTTGCATCTCTTGTGGGACAATAGAACGGTTACCTTCGTCGTCGACTGTGGGGCGGGTGAAGGGAGGCGGCGTCTGAGAGGTCCGATGGTGCAAACGGCTCTCCCCGCACCGAGCTTTTACCTAGAGCAGGGAAGTGGCAGTTCATTCCCCTTGTAATTCGTCAGCCAGACTTCCTTAAAGGAATGTAGGATGTTCAAATAAATTTTCCACAGATGATTTCTAACAAGTATAAACTAAGGCTCTGCAGTCTGAACCTGAATTAGCTCAGATATTGAGAAGCTGTGGTTTTCCAGTACACTGATCTTCTGGCTCCTTAATTAAAGGGTCAGAAACCATGAAACCAAAGATGGGAGCGCTAGGGGGTAATATATTCATCTTTTCAAGCCCAGTTGAAAATCTTTAGAATATAATTATTAGATAAATAGCTCATGTAATAGAAGATTGATCTCTGTTCTTATGGAGATAAATGACTTTGGTGAATGTGCTTCATTGTGTTCTCAGTGCTGCATCGGCTCCCTCACGTGCTGCCGTGCAGGTGGCTCTGTGAGACCGCCGTGGGGCAGGTCTGTGTCTGGGTCCCTGCTGAGGGATCTTCAGTCTGCCCCGTGCCCACGTGCCACTTCCCAGCCTGCTCCGTAGGGACCAGGCTGGAGTGAGAGCAATGTCCTCACAGGACAGGGGACGACGGTAGTGCCAACCAGACAAACATATCTCTTAACAGCTGTTTGTCCAGGAGCCTGTGCTCCAGAACCCCTACCAGCCACTCTCACTGATCCGAGGGCCCCTGGCCGCCTCTTCCAGGATGGCAGTTGGGATGGGTCTGGCACTGGCTGCCGCTCTGGCAGCTGTGCGTCAGAGCAGACGCTTCTCTCACAGGAAAGGAAAGGAGATTAGTGATGAGGATTCATTCCACTGAGTCGGCGGTAACCTGGGCACTCACTGGCAACTATTATAGCTGACTACAATGTTATTACAAGCTACACTTTTATAACTTGTTTGCGAGGCAAAACCTTTTCATTCATTTGTTTCTTCCTCTCTTACCTGGTTGCGGGGAGCAGCCAGTGTTGGGGACCCTCGTGCTGTCTTCTTTTTCAGAGGCTGTGGTAGGGAAGGGTGATGGTTGGGGTTGGGGTGGGCTCGGCCATCCCCTCTGAGGAGAGATGGGAGTTCGGGGCTCAGAGCAGGGCGCAGGACATGGCCCCCAGGTTAGTGTGACGGGACCACCTCACTTTGTCTGTTCTACCTCGTTTTTTTCTGCCCTGACCTGTCGTCTGGGTTCTGCCCCTGCCCCTCTGCCCCCAGCTCTGGCCGGCGGCCCAGAGGTAAACAAAGAAGCCGTGACAGGAACTTGGGGACTAGAGCAGAGAGGGCCTGGGGCTGAGCTTGGTGCTCCACGCACCGGCAGGGCAGCGGGCTTGTGGGTGTGGCCCCAGGTGTGACAGGTGGCTCTTGTCCACGTGGCACATGCTTGTTAAGAGCCGGTGCCGAGGCAGTAAACAACTGAACAGGCCCACCTGCCCGTCAAGAGCAGCCTTCAGGTGAACTGTGTCACCCAGAGCCGGTCTCAGGTAGCATGGGTCACGTCCAGGGCAGGAAAACCGTCTTTCCCGCGCGGATCTCTCCGCGGTGGGCGGAGTCTGGGGCCCCTGCGCGACCTTCCCACGCCGGGCGCTGTCCAGCAGCCGCGCTGAGTCTCGGCGCTCGGGCAGTTCCCTCCATGCCCGTGAGTTCAGTTTCCTAAGCGTCCCTGAGCCGCCCAGCCCGATTTTCAGAGGCGCTTTGAACTTACCAACCAGACTCAGGCTGGGCGGGGGACGTGGAACCCGCGTCCGGATGAGCTGCAGCTCGCGGCTTCCACGACCCGTTCATCTAACTCTCTTCCCGCGGTGAGTTTACCCAGCAAGTAGCCGTTTCAGGGCCGTGGAAATGGTAGCGCTGGAGAAAGTGCTGATGACCGCAGTGTGCTGGTGTCGTCCTGCTCCGCGATGCGAGCGGACAGTCAGAGCGCGGCTGAGCGGGGCCGGGGCCGGGGCCGGGGCCGAGACGGGAGGAGAGCCTGATGCTTCCTGCTGCAGCCAAGAGAACTTGGGAACTGACGTTGGGAAAGAAGAGAAACCCACATCTCCTCTGTTCCTGAGAGCGACCTCTAGCCCCTGACTTTTACTTTGGATTCCCAGGACCAATAAACAGTCACCCGTAGAAACTGCAGGTTGCCTTTGTGCCCCGCACACCTGGCTGTGCAGGCCCGGCCCGCGGAAGCCCAGACTCTGTGGCTCGTGGCCCCGCGTCCTCCCCCTGGCAGGCGGCAGGTCTGGCGCTGAGACCCCGGGCGGCGGCTGGCCTCGTCAGGCTTGTGCCCCCGGCCCAGGGCTTACGAGCCTTGTCACTAGCTTTGTTACGGGCTGCGGGCCGCTGCGGAGATGGACGTGCTTGGCGGTCGAGGCAGACAGACCTGAGCGCCGTCCTCTCTGTCTGGCTGGCACAGGCTTGGAACCCCTTGGGCTTGGAGGTGGCCAGGAGTGGGTGGGACGGAGTTGCGCTAACCCCGGAATCCGAGCCTAAACGGGTGCCGCCTCCCTGGAGTGTGTGGTTCGTTGAAATTCCTGGGTACAACTTTAGACCAAAGTACTTTCCCGCCCGAGGCTTCCGAGCAGCTCTTCCTGACCTGCTGTGGGCGTCGTTCTCAGGTGACCGGAAAGATTTGGCCATTGCGGACAGAATGCCTACTGCACATCCTCCTGGGGGCACGCGTGGAAATGCTGACGGCCTCGTCGGGCGTGTCAGCTCCCGTCTCTGGCAGGAACACCATGTGCTGAGTCGCCTGTCACACTGCCTTGTGTGAAGTCACATCATCTGTTACAGTGACGTCTGAATCCCTGCGGGGTGGCCAGGATAGTAAGAAACATTTGTCCTCAAGAAGTACCCGTCACAGTCACCTAGTGAGCGAACAGCAGTTCAGGGTTCGGGGGATGCAGGCGGCAGCTGGCGGGAACAGGGAACAGACGCTCGGAAGCGCCAACCCGCGTGCGCCACCCC